TATGAGGCCACTTTTTCATATCATCCTCCCACTCACAAATAGTTTGAGGGTGTGGCACTGACCTGCCACTCTGATCGCTTAGCAAATTAGGAAAATGTTGCCACAACATTGATTATTAAATCTGTTAAGCTAGCGATAGTTTGCATAGGAAAGCGCTGAAACGGAAGTGCGGCACACACAAACGGAAGTTGGACCCAGAGTTACTTCCGCGTTTCAAAATAAGGTGGATATATGTGATCATTCTCCTTTACTTTCTGTTCCCTATATTTCCTCATACTTTCTGATATATTATCATTACTATGAAATACTTTGGAAATGTATCTACTAACATATCTGCTTTATCACTATCTTTAATCACAATTTTTCCATTACTAACTAAAACTGGAATATTATTAATTTTCCTAATTCCTCCCCATCTTCCTAATCATATTCCAAATATCATTTATTTCAATATTTTCACCAATTTGATTACAGAATTGTCTCCAGAATATTCTTTTTGCTGTTCTTACTTCTTTCCTACCTTTGCCTGAGCTCTCTTATAATTAAGGTAATCATTATATATTAATGATTTTCTGGCTTTCTGCATTGCTTTATTTCTTTGTTTAACAGCCTTACTACAGTCTTCATTCCACCACGGTACTGCTTTTCTACCGCTTATATTTTTCTTTTTACCTATTGCCTCCCCTGCTGTATTTCTTAATATTTCACTAATTTTCCTATTTAACTCTTCAATATCTTCAATATCTGTCATTTTACACATATTATTATTACATAAGTCTTTATAAATCTCCCAGTTGGCTGTTTTAAATTTCCATCTTGGAATTCTCTCCACCAATGATTGAACTATATCCACACCAATTTGACACCTTATTGGATAGTGATCACTTACCAAGGTGCTTTGTTTACTTACATTCCATTCACATTTTCTAGCAAGATTTTCAGACACTAATGTAATATCTAAAACTGATGTTGGCCCATTATTTACACCAATTCTTGTAACACTTCCATTATTAATACATACCAATCGTCCCCAATCTAGTAAGTCTTCCACTATCAGCCCATTACTATCTGTTTTAACACTTCCCTATAATAATGAATTATGTGCATTAAAATCACCACACCATACTACCTTTTGATTTGTATTGCCTCTTATATTTTCTAATATTTTCCTACTTAATTTTTCACATGGATTGTAAAAATTAATTATTTTAATACTTTGTTTCTTTTCTCAAACTTCTATTACCAACACTTATTGATCCACACTCATTTCTACATTCCTGTATCCTACACCTTGTTTTATAAAGGTAGCTACCCCACCTCCATTTCCTTGGTTTCGATCCCTCTTAATGCATATATATCCTTGTAAAACAAAATTTAACTGAGATTTGAGCCATGTTTCTTGTATACACAATATGTCTGGTTTTTTTATCCAAATCAGAGATGTATTTTTTAAACTCTTGTCCATTAGCTATTAAGCTTCTAGCATTCCACTGGAATATTAGAAGCATTATTATGTACCACCATATTCTGCTTGAGTATTTTTTGTTTGCATCTTTAACTTCTCACTGATCATTTCTACTGAAATATCCTCAATCTCTAGATATTTCTCAGCTGCTTTGATTATTATTCTGATTCTTTCTGTTCGGCTTTCAGTTTGCGCGGAGCAATTCACAACTTCAGCTATACAAATTGCAAATTTCATTCCCTCCATCATCCACGCCAAAATTTTCATCTTCCATTTCCGGATCACTTCCGGAATCTACATAGATTCCTACCATGCACACTCCAGTCACAGATCAGTTGCTATCCAATCCACCACTCCTGTGAACCCGCTCGGCCTCAGCGCTGCTGCTTGGAAATCCTGTAGCTGCACTGCCCATGTGCTTCCTCTTCTTCTTTTTGTTTTATGGCAGATTACAACCCTAACCTTTAGGTACATACCGCCACCTACTGTACCGGAGTATTTTAGCATGGGACTGCGCATGCGCTACAGCTACTCTTTCAATTTAGTTGTACCAACAATCAATTTCAAATCCAGTTTATTTAACAATACATGTTTATACACTATTAGAGTTGAAATCATTGGGCGGACATATATTTTTTAGCTGATACTGATCTACTTAAATTTTCATGTCAGAACAATCAAGAATATAAACTCTTCTCAATATATTGTAGTTTTATTTTTTTTGGTGACTGATTGAAATGAGTGGAATTGATGCAGTTGTTGACAGAAGAAATAAACCGTCTATTTAATCCTGAATGATGTTTTCTTAGAAGTGTATTTGGGCATAATAATAATAATAATAAAACAATAATGAAAACAAAAATATAATAGATAGCAATAGGAGTAGTTTTAGTAAATAAAAATAGAAGTACTATTAGTACTAACAGCCCAATAGTGGTAGTAGTAGATTTAATAGTTGTTGTTGTTGTTGTAGTAGTATTTGCATTAACTGTTCCTGAATCTTTTTGGGGGGAATATTTACATTAATTTTATGATGTAGTTTAGCATTAAGACTTAAACATATCTTAATCTGCTTGTCTGGATGTCCGACCATAACAGGATCAATATTTATTTCATGTTGAAGTTTTATATTCTACATTTATTTACTGATAAACGCTTTTTTAATTCCATCATTGGACATCTCAGAACATTTTTATAAATCATCTTATGACAATAAGGTTTCCAAATTCACATCCTTTAAGGGTTTTTTCAAATTGTGCTGTTGATTTTTGGGATTTCTTTTGTTTCCTGATATTTTCCCTTTTCATTGGGAGAATAATTTTTAAATCTTTGGTTTGTTAATTTTGTAAAATTACATGGTGGTCTGAAAGACAAGTAAATATGTTGTCTTTTTTTTTATTTTTTCAGATTTGTTTGAAAACATAAATCCGTTTCAGATGCTGAATGATTTATGATTGTAGTTGGATTCTCAATTAACTGGTTTAGATTAAACTGATCATTTATTCATTTTAAATTCCCTCTGTCATTTTTTCCATCCCAATTGATATTAAAATCGCCAAATAGAATTATTTCTTTTTCTGATTAAACATTTTCAGGAGTTCTTTTAATTTGTCATAAAATACGTTTAAATGAGGGCTTATGATAGAGACAAATTCCAGTTAATGATATTTCAGCAGAGATGAACATAATAACGCTGACACATTCTAAAGTCACAGTGCTAGGCCATGTCATAGGGCTGCATTTCAATATATTCAGACTCAGGTGGTTCCTGCTGGAATCGGGTTCCTCTGGTCTTCTACACTCATGATGAGAATCAGCTCTCTGCTTTACAGGACTGACTGGGAAATGGAGACTAGGTGGAAGTTCAACTGAAGAAACTGATTGCTCTCCTACACCCGCCTACGACACAGCAATCAGCTTTGAATTACACCTCCACAAAAGCAAATCGGCATCCAAAGTTCATCTTAAAAGGCCTCAGATCTGCAACTCGTCTGCTATCTAGTGTGCAGTTGGTGATTGCGCTGTGTGACTTTTTCCAGATGAACCCTTTTCAACCCACCTCCAGCCCTTCCTCCACCAAAGCTAAAGCTTTACTGGAGTTTAATTGCTCCGAGACACTTGCTGCGTTCTGCGTCTCATTTCAACTGGTCTGGCAGAAGACCGCCATGTTGAGCCTGGTTCTGCCAGAGGTTTCTTCCCAACGGGGAGTTTCTCCTCTCCGCTGTCGCTCCATGCTTGCTCATTATGGACAGGTTCTCTCAACCTGTGTTATCCAACTGGACTTCCATCCTGCAGGTCCCTGAGTGAAGCTCTAATATCAGTTTCACTAACCATCAGTCTACAAACTGACCAACTTCATCTATCTCCACTCCACCTGTTTCAGGGATGGAGGGAAACAGCCCTATTCTTTGTTCCTGTTTATGCATATCTAATAAAATTCAGCGCCATATTTCCTGCTGAGGTCTGAGCACCAAAGACCAAATAATTGTATCAATACATTTCTTCTGATCGATTTTTCTCTTTGTGTGAGTTTTTCAGATTGAACTGACTGGTTCTGGTTTCTCTCTCAGACTGACTGAAGTCCAGAAGATGGAAGATTGGGATCTAAAGGAGGACAGAGCAGAACCTCCAAGATCCAGTTGCCCTCCTATGAGGAGTGACTGGTCCAAAGGAGGAATACCTCCAGACTTCAGGTCAGAACCTGGACCCTCAGACACAAAGCAAGGAACCAGTTTCTAACTGATCCATGTGACTCCATAGCGATAGAAACTCTAGAATCTGAACTGGTGTATCTTCAGAAGCTAAATAAGAATGAAGGATGTTAGTCTGTAAATTAGTGGAGTTTGAATGAAGGCCTAAGAATCAATGTTGGAGGAAAATAGAACCAACCAAGCATCTGATGAGCAACCACGTTCAGAAATGCTCTCTAAAGCTTCTGGACCACAGGAGCTTTTGGACTGGGAACACTGGACCCAGCATATATACTGGGTCTAGTTGATCCAATAGGCTGATGACCCAGCCAAAGGTAACAGGGAAAAGCAGAACAACAGGACTTGGGACTTGACGGCCGCATCAGCTCCTCAGACAAGATGAACAACTTTGGTTCTGATATCAGGGAGCAGAACTCCACCTTCTTAGACTAGATGTGATCAATGGGTCAGTGTCCAGAACTTTCTGGGGTTTATAGTAATAGTAGTTGGTACTATAGTAGTACTTTGTAGAATCATTCCTTGAAATCTAATCTCATCAGCTTCATTAAACTGTGACCTGTTGTACTGCAGGTATTGCTTTGACCCTTGTGATCCAGACCAGTAGAACCCAGTTCTTTAGATAATTTTCAGTTGGATCCAACAGAACCATCTGAATGTTTCATTACTGAACTTAAAACCTTCTGCTTCTCTGCAGCAGTTTGTGTTCAGAGCTCCTCTTGTCTGTTTTTTATCTCAAAGTTTCTAACTGATCGATGTGATCTGAATCACAACATGTTTGTGTTTCAGAGGTCAGAACCCCAGACAGAGAGCAGAACCTCCAGGATCCAGCTGTCCGTCTATGAGGAGTGACCTGTCCAAAGAATGGAACCCTCCAGACTTCGGTGCAGAACCTAAACCCTCAGACTCAGAGTAAGGAACCAGTTTCTAACTGATGGATGCGACTCTGCAGAGATAGAACCTCTACATTCTGAACTGGTTGATCATCAGTGTCTCACTGGTTTGGACTTTGTTCTGTTGGTTTCTTATCAGGATCCAACAGATTACTGACAGGTCCAAAGTCATTTTCTCTCCTTCCAGCCTGATAAATCCCAGAAGTTGTTCAGATCTTAATCTAAATGAGCAGAGACAGAGACTGAGTGTGTCATGAATCAGCAGAATGGTTCTGGTTCCTTCCAGCAGGTGGAACTGGGCTGTATAGCAGCCCTCACTGCAGGGGGCTTCTTGGTGTCTTTGTCCACAAAGTCCTACCTGTGGAGCTTGTGGAACCATTTTTTCCTTGGCCTCTTTAATGAGAGAAAATGTTTTGTGTCTGCCTGCCTAAAAAGGAATGGGTTCAGAGAAAACATTACAGCCCCTATGCTGTAATGTTTAAGGTAGGGGGGGACAGAAAGCAGATGCATCCCTAGACAAGGATGAAGGGAAGGACATGAGCGATAAGAATAAGTTCACATAGCCTCCTTCATGCCGTGAAGAAGGCTACTTATAATAACAAATAATAACAAAGAGAAAATCTCCAAAAATACAGTTTGGCCTGTCTTCCCAAAGTAAGAGTTGTAGTATGATCCAGATGAGGTTATCTGTGTATCCTACAAGTTTGAAGGCAGTACAATGATCTATAGTGTAGTCAATGCTCATTTTATACTTATTCTAATAATAAAATAGAGGTGCCATTTGTCATTTAGGCTTATTGAAATTCCTCAGAAAAGTATTATTTTCAAATCCAATACATGTGATAATAACCCACCTCTCCTTGGTAATGCATTTGAATATTTCTCTCTGATTATTTTGCAACTTGCAGAACTCGCTCCTCCTGCATGTTTTTGGAGCAGCGAGCTTCCCATAGAGGCCAATTTAATTCTCCCAGTGCGATAGAACTCTCGCTTTCAGGAAACTACAGTTGTAGCTCACTGTCTGTCCTGCTGTGGTTGCAGAGTTGTCTGTTTTGTAGAATAAATAATCCGCCGACGAGTTATTAATCCTGAAAAGCTGAATCTGTGGCCATATTGCCAACTTTACTGCAGACTCATGATGCGGTCTGCATGGCTGCAGCTAAGAAGACAGGAGAGAGAGAGGAGAGATCGCTTGAGTTATATTTGCCCCCAAATAAATAATGGTCATTATTGTATAAATGGTCATTTTTGTATAAATATTCTTGCTTTCTACAGCGTTTCAGCTCATGCAGCTATTTTCATTGTAGAGATAAAACAAACATCAGTTATCATCTGATCGCTGCGCTGGTGGCTGTGCTGAAACATTGCGCTGTTGGCGACACTGATGACATAGACCTAGTTATATTTAATTACAAATATGATTTTTTTCCCTCCTGCTCTCAGGTAAAACAGTCTCAAAGAGAGAGACTGGAGCTAAAACCGAAACTGCAGGGGGTGGAATGTTTCTCCAGCCACAGCGCTAAAGGGGTATTAACATCTGAAAAGGGATTCATGAGTTGATAAGTACTGCGGGGGGACTGAAGGCTCATGAAAATTCTCGTATCTGTTGGATTTCTAGTGTTAATACCCTACAGCAATGATGAACTGCACGGCAGCATTCTATACTCAGCAATTGTAGTATCTAGGCAAGAGCGTCAGTCTGATAAAGAATCTGGTTGTTATTTGAAATTTTAAAGTTTAGCAGTTTTATGAATTGTAACTAGGGCTGCAACTAACGATTATTTTAAAAATCGATGAATCGGCCGATTATTTTTTCGATTAATCAATGAATCGGACAAAAAATATTTTTTATATTAACCACTTTATTCCAAAATAAACATTTTAGACAGAACAAACAAGCACACAAGTACAGGTTGCTCATTAACTGTACTGGTGCAATATGAAAAATAAATGTTTGTGTTAAAACTACCCAAACTTACATGAGAAATGTAGCTGTACATCCACAAAATATAGGCTACTTTGTTTCATAAAGCGCAAAAAAAGACATTTTTGTTTTTAAAGCCCCTAAGGGGTTCAAACAATAGGCCCCCCCATTTCAACAAATGAGCTTTTTTAGACTAGAAGAGTTCTGCCTTTTAAGACAGGAAAGTATAGCAGTTAAAGTTGCTACTTGAGAAAATACTGAACCATAGAGATAAAAATAGCCCTGTGATTCAAATTATAAATTGTATTTGGAATAAAAATGAGAGAACTAGGGGTGCTAAAAAACACATCCTCCAAAGACAGATATTTACATGGGAATGTGGCAGATAATTAATTGACATTTTACTGATCTTGCTGGATTTTATTCTGCTTTACTTCCATAAATTGAAGGATCTTTATTTTTGCCAGAAGATTTAAACTTTAAAAGCCTTGCCCTCATAATTTGCAAGTTAATTTATTTATAAAGTAAATATAAACGCTGCTTAAGCTAATTCAAATTAAATTAAAAGTAAAATAAGTAGCCAACCTTATCACTGTCTGTAACCTACTAACACGGTAAGGAAAGCATCAGATGAGCTACCTGAGAAACTAACGTTACGTTTCCCCACTTTAAAACCAAACAAACATGGTTACTCATCCTGCTGATCAGCTCTCTTCACTGCCATTGAAGGCTCCAACGTGTTTTCTTTTCAGGTGCTGTGTCATAACAGTGGTGGTTCCGTGCCATGTTCATTTGTTTTTACAAAAGTTGCATGTTACGACTTTTTTCACTGTACAAAGCGCAGGCTATTTTAATTATTGTGATCAATTTGCGCCGTCAATCTCGGTGCATGCGCGCTTCATTTGCAGTCTGGACGCTGAGGGTAAACATCCTGCGGCTCTGACTGCAGGGTTGCTGGGTTGGGATGGGGGAGGCGCCCCACGGCAGAGTAGGAACGATACATGCTTTCACGTAAGAGTCTCCAAAAGCCGCCAGTGACACCGTAAAAAGTCGCCAGATTTGACGCTAGTCACTTTTTTGAAAAATAGTCGCTGGAGGGGTCTGAAAAGTTGCTGAGTTGGCAACACTGCGCACCTGCGGCGCTGACTCGCTCTGCCGTATTTTTTTTTTCTTCCCCCGTTTCAGTCAAGTGGCAGTGATGACGGCGGCGGCGGCGGATGACGCATTAATCGCGCGACACAACTAATCAATGATTAAATTCGTTGCCAACGCTTTTAAAAGTCGATTTTTATCGATTTTATCGATTCGTTGTTGCAGCCCTAATTGTAACATAAAAGTTACTAAAACTAGACTAAAACCTTTTTAAGTTTTAGTCGACTGAAACTGACTAAAGCTTTCACATATAGTAATGACTAAAATGTAACTAAACTAATAATAGTTTTCTTCCTAATGACTAAATTTATGATGGCTGTCAGAAACAACACTGCAGCTCTAGACAATTTCATATTTTAAAGTGCCGCCTTGAAAACAGTAATAAATACATAAAAAAATAGTTGGACTGTAAATATGACTGTATATTTACAGTTCTAACATTCTTTTTTTTCTTACTTTGTGAAGATAGGCCAAACTGTATTTTTGGAGATTTTTCATTGTTATAAGCATATAATAGCCAATAATTACACTATAGATCATTATACAAGTTCATACTACAACTCTTACTTTGGAAAAATGTGCTAAACTCTATTTTTTTAAGATTTTTTTTAATTGTTATTATAAGCAGGCCAGGTGTGTAATCTCTGCAACAGGAACCACAGCACTGAGCGTTGTGTGCACTGCACAAAGTATACCTGTCACAAATGCAGGAAGGACTCACCTTGGGTTTGTGAAAACTGCTAAATGGGACAATTGTAGCGTCATATGTAGTGCTTTTCCTTGGGTGAAATTAATGTTACTCCAGTACTAAAATCATACATAATGACGTGAAAAGGCGAGACAAGACAAAATACAATTATTCTCTAAGTTGTTCTTTCTTTCACATAGTGAGCTTTGTAATATAAATGAGTCTGTTGGTGAATGGACAATATAAATAGGCTCTGCCTTGCCCTGTTGGAAAAGCATGGCTATGACCTGTTCTCAGCTCAGGAACTAGGACCCGTATGATATCTGGTTGTTCAATAGGTTTGTCTAAATAACAGATTTAGATATGACTTATCAAGATATTCCTACAAAAAGGTCTGATGTTGCAGGGGAAGGTAATGAAAAGTGTTTGGAGCATGCTCTTGTTCTGATGCCAGTTTGTTTCAGCATTTATCCAGTCTCATGTAGAGTGAATACACAAACTTGAAGAGGGGAGGGGGGCTTGCAGGAAAACTGGAATTCTCCGGGACATCTAGTCTTATACAGTATAAAAATAAGATAAGCAAAGCAGCAAAACCACAAACAAACAGAATAGTGAATTACTGAAACTGGGACTGAACCACTTCTTAACTAAGAGTCTTTGTTTCCTTCTTAGATTCAATTCAATTTCAATTCAGTTTATTTATATAGCGCCAATTCACAACACAAGTCATCTCAAGGCACTTCAGATGGGCTTCAGGCTGGAACACACAGAGGAACATCTGGAGGAACGCAGAGGAGAACAGAGCAGGGTCTCCATCACACAGCTGTGTTTCTATGAGGAGTGACCACACCAAAGATATATTGCACAGTTAGTACTGATCCTGTAGCAGCAGATCCGAGGTGAGTCCTCTGCTACTAGCTGCTATGATCATGTTTAAAACTCTCATAGCTGCAAACTAAGTCAAACTGGACTTTAAGCTGAAAAGCTCAGCAAAAAAGAAGCTTCAGGACATCCAACCAGCTCCAGGAAGGTTCTCTGATGAGAGGAAAGCTGCAGCATCATGCTGCCTCCAGTGCAGAGCTTGATCAGCAATCAGAGCTGTTAAAACTACTGATTGAACTACTTTATTAAAGAAAAAAATAAAAAGTACAGGTTCTACATTTTACTTAAGTACAAGAGTGAAATTATTTTTTTCTTTTAAATTATATAAAATAATTTTTTAAATTCTTATTTTTTTTCCTTTCAGATGAGTTCT